GCTCGACACCGCCTTGCCCCGTTCTCCCATCTGTCCTCCGCCACATCCTTGTCTCTCTTGTCCAAGTCCTCTATGTGTCCCCTGTACATCGCCGGCGATAATGGATCTAATGGCAAACGCGCGAGGGCGATGGCATGCTGCAGCTCAGTACGAGGAGATAAGACAGTTGGTTGGCCACGATGTTGTTCCCTTTTGCCGGCACATTGGATTTGCAGACTTCCGGAGCAGCACCTCTGACATGGACATCAAGATGAGTTTGCGACCTGCTATCCGGATCAGACCTCATCATCAGATCATGTACCGGACGCAACCTGCTACTGTGAGAATCAAGTCCTTGCCGTCTACATCACGGAACTGCTGAAGACTGTTTCCTCATCGCCACTTCTGTGACACCCTCCAAGACCTTCCCCAAGACATTTCTTCGCTTTTGACACTTTTTTTTTTTTTTGACACTTTGTTACAGACCTGAGACGTTGTTTTCCCAAACCCCTCAGACACCCCAGCACTTGAGCATTGAACAAACAATTTTCTTTTTTTTTGACATCTTTCTCAAACCTGACAACCTACAACCTTGTAGAACACCAATAGGACCTCCCGGTTACCTGTAGAACCTCAGTAAGATTACCCGATTACTTGAGCATTGATTCCCTCATTTCTGTAGAACCTCAATAGGATTACCCTGTTACTTGAACATTGATTCCCTCATCCCCGTAGAACCCCCATAGGATTACCCTGCTACTTGCATTACTCCTCCTTTCCTTTTCTGACCAGTGATCGGCCCCGTCCTGTCCTTCACATTTGTTCATTGGATCTTTGGCAGCCGGGAGGTTGCCTTCCAGAGAGAGGGGATAGTGTTACGGACCCCGGCAGGGCTCTATCCCTGGTCCGCAGGTTACCACCCACCACGCTGCTATTCTATTTTTTTTTGGAGTCTCTGATCTCCAGTTCCTGACTGTTGGCGCCCTCTGCCGTTGGGGGCCGTTCTCAAATCCCGCCTCTGCCACTTTCGGATTTCGTTTTTTTTTTTTTTTTTGGGATAATTTGCAAACTACCCCCATAAGTTGAGATATATGTCAAAATGCCCCTGAAAGATGTGGGTAGAGCGGAATGCCAAAATCTTTGTGTTGTGCCCCTGTCAGGCGGGTGTGCAACTTTGCAATCTGGACTTCCCCGTTTGGGCGTTGGCCTTTTGCAATAGCGCCTAGGAAAAGCTGGCAAGTACTGGGGCATTTTGCAAAGTTTGACGGTACCCGGTAGGGGTATATTGCAAAGATGGGGGTCCAACCGATGCTAGGGGCATTTCACAAACTATGTTTTTTGTCAGAGGGCCATTCGGCTCTACCCATATCTTTTAGGGGCATTTTGGCATATAACTCAACTTATGGGGGTATTTTGCAAACTATCCCTTTTTTTTTTTTCCTTTTCTTTTCTTTTTAAACAAAGCCCATGGTGTTGTAGAGGCCAGTCACTGTGTAGACAGTGATCACCTGGAGCAGTAGGCCGTGGGTGTCCTGGAATATGAGACCACCTCCCATCCCATCCTCACGTCAATACTCCTAGCGCACCCCCTATCCCACTATCCTACCTGTGTGACCAGCACTCAGGACCATTACCCCGCGCCATCTGGCATTCTGGCGCCCAGGCTCAGACCTTCGATTTTCAGTTCAGCCCCGAGGCAATTGCACTTTTGCCCTCGGACTCAACTTGAGTCCGGTACTTAAGACCGGACTCAAGCTGAGTTCGGGGACTCAGTTTTCAGCCTCAGTGCTTGTGCTTCAGTGTGACTTGCTGCGACATTGTGTACGGAACCAAGCTTGAGACTTTGCCACTTCGCCACTTTGTTTTCGTGTCCGTCGAGTCAGTGTTCAGTCCGTGTCGTGTCCAGTCCGTGTCGAGTTGTGTGAGTGTGTGTGTGTGTGCTCTCACTGCCTCCCTCTCTCTTCCCCGACCTGGCTGCTCTGCCTCAGCCCCGTCACACATACCCATAACCGCCACGTCCAGATTTCGGCGTTGAGCAAACTCAATGCTGCTAGTGGGACTTGGCGCCTGGTCTCCTGATGTGGAAATACGTTGTGTGCAGTCACACACCGCAGCACGCAAATATCTGTCCCTTTTTTTTGTTTTCCCCTTCTTTCTGATGAGATTCTGCCAGTCAAAGGCAAACGGGCAAATGATTTCACGAAGATCTTTTTTTTGTGATTCTTTGTGATTCGAGATCGAAGTGGTGAAAAGGAAAAAAAAAAAAAAAAAAGGAAATAGGCATTTGCAGGCCCTGATAATGAATGCACACAAGCTATTTATTGGTTTGGTACAGCCACTCTTCCCGAGCTGCCTTAGAGGACTGCAAAGAACTACAGGCGGGTGCGTTACTGGCCTACTACAGTAGCATTTGAACCCAAGGCCGTTGAGGCGCCTTGGGGAACGAGTGAAGAAAAAAGGGGAAAAAGCTCAACAGATTTTGTGGCCACTGGGCCCGGGTCCCAGCTCGTGCTGCTCCCCACGAATAGATTGGAGCCTTGTCCCGGAAAAAAAAAAAAAAAAAAAAAAAGCTCAACAGATTCTGTGGCCACTGCTTTGCGACGGGGGGCTTGGTCCCACTTGCACGCATTAAGAGATACTGATCGTAGATAGCAAAGATCAACGGCCGAAAGCTCCTAATTTGCGCAAGTGGGACCTTGCCCCGGCACAGCACCATTTTCCCAGACAGACCGACGGCTGCAACCATGCCCACATCCGCAATTCGGCCTTCCCAAATCCATCCGCAAATGGTGCGGATTTGCGGTCGCAGTGTGAGTATGCCCTGAGGGGTAGGCCAGTTGGTTGGTCGTCACAAACATACGATGCAGCTCCTCCCACACTGTATATAAAGGAGGCCCCTGCTGCGCGGGTGGTAGGGTGCATCCGCTGGCTTGCAAAAGCACCATCATGGTGGGAGTTGGTGCCTTTTGGTAATGGGGCATGTGGGTCGAGTGCGATCCGAGGAGGGTGGGTTTGCGGGGTCTTTTTTTTTTTTTTTTTTTTTTTTTTTTGCCAACGATTGCAACAAGCTTCCCCTGAACAACAGTAGAGATACAAGCAGGGCAGAGAGAGGATGAGAACAGGGCCTGAGAATTTCGTAATTCCTCCATACATGCGACAAGCTTCCCCAAAGGGGTCTTTTTCTGCAGTTGGGGGCCTGTGGCGTGCG